GTATATATATATATATATATATATATATATATATATATATTCTGGGGGTTTGTAAGTTATCTCCTTTCCAGGAAATTATTGCTAGCTTTCATCACATACCCCAGTCTTAATCTTATGTTGAACTAGCTGCTATTCACCGAGCTAATTTTATCTATCTATTTTTTTCCCTTTTTGCTCTCGATATTTCTAATTTTATTTGTGTTGTAACAAGGGGGAGTTGCTATAGTAAGCCTTCACACCTACCCTCCGCCTCCTTATTTCTCACCGAAGCATAAAATTGTGCGCATCTTTCGATCATAAAAATTGTGACTTCAAAAATAATAAGACTAAACGGAATCGAAGTTTTGCAGAGGTTCTACTTTCAATTTACATTGGGATATTGAACATTCCCATTTTGGTAATCTCCTATTGTCCATTTCAAAGCTCACATAATCTTCACTATTTTTCTCACCTCTTTAAGGTGAAGGTAATGCTTTGCTGATAGTCAGTTCTGTTTTTTTTCCTGGTCTCAGTATATATATATATATATATATATATATATATATATATATATATATATTATTTTCACAATTTCATTGGTATGCAGTAATCAAGGCAACCACAGCTCTTGGTAAATAATAAATCTGCTTTTCTCTGCTCTCTGCTCCCTCTCTCTCCCTCCCCCTCCCTCCTCTGCCCTGGTGCGTTTGGCCACACTCCCCACCAAAGCATAAAACCGTGACTGCTTATCTGATTACATCTGTGATGGACGATCGCGAATGTGCGCGCGTCTATATGTCACAACAGTTGGCGGCTGAATCATAACCTCCTCGCCTGGTTCGCTTTTTCCACACCTTCTGGAGAAGAGGGAGTTGAGTAACAATTTTCATGAGGGAGGGCGGGGAGGGGGGGGGGGTCATACTGGAGCTATCAAAATGATCCATGAAATCAAAATCGATAAATATTTTGATCCATTTAGAGTGTGGTGGTTGTTCTCTGATTTGATCGATTAGTTCAGGCTGGAAATGCTCGATTGATTGGGTGTTGACTGAGTAGAAACCTACCTTTACGTGATGCTGCTTGGCATTAATTATAATTTACACTAGATAAAAGTGAATTCGCATTTGAAATTAATGATTAGCTTAGGTTAATATATTGGTGAAGAAATTGTGTTTGCCTCTCTCTCTCTCCCTCAGAGTGACTCGGAAATGTCGCTTTTCTAATGATTGTTGTTGGCAGAAACTTTCATATCTAAATTTTAGAATAGAACGAGTTTGAAGGTTTTCAACTAGAATGAATCATCGATTCCGCATCTGTTTATATCTAATTTGCCCATTTTTTCAAGACACTGATTGACTCCTTTCTGATTTTACTTAATATCGGTTTTACTTAAATGCATGTATTCGCAGGCAACCAATTTGTGCATCGTGAAAACATTAATTTTGATAACCAGTCAATTGAAAGTCGTCTGTCCACATGTCCAGACTGAGATCGTGTTTTGAATGCACTTATTATTGTTTCTGTGAGAGTAATTTGTGTATTTATTGCGGACTGGGCTGAAGCCCTGAAGTACAGACGGAATTTTCAAACAATTCAATCTCGAGCTATTTTTTTGCAAGTGCCTTTTAACCGAGACAAAGAGAACAGACCTAGTGTCTATACTGTGCGCTCCTACAGAATCTGTCTACAATCGAAATAACTGGCAATTTATCAAAGCAAAAGGTTAATGACGTTTGACTCATTCAATAAACGGAAGTTTTGATTACACCTGTTCACTACCATTCATTATAATTACCACCCACTGTATTTAAATAGTTGCCTTAATAGGAAGTATTTAGCTAAAGGTTTCCCTTAAAGCTCAAACACCTTGAGATACAATTTTGCCGAAGTCAAATAGTATATTACTAGTCTGCGTTCAAAGATATGGCGCCTTTTGATGATGACTGTCGTTACTTCCAACTACTTTATCCTGCGGAAGGCTGTTTCACGGGTTGGGGAAGGCTTATTCAGTGTAGTCTAGAGCTTGAAGAGTAAGCTAGTGCGTCGATTGACTACTTTCTCCCTCCCACCCCCACTCCCCCCCCCTTTTGGCCTTTAGAGGAGAATAAAGTATGACTCTAACGTGCGTCAACTTTTTTGCGTATATTTCAACACGGGGCTCTCATCTCTGTTGCCTTGCCTTCTTTTTTTCTAATGTTTCGCCTCGCCGGTGGCAAAAAGTTGAATGAATGTTCGTGTGTTAATGTCATCTCCTCTACCTATCTTGGCGGTAGAGAGGATACTTGTTCTGTCTGTTTCGATTTGGAGACTTTTTTTGGTTCTGGCTTATTCGCTAGTTTCCCTCGAATGGGTTTGTAGCTATTCTTTAAATTAAACTCGCTAATCTACGTCTAGTTTACTGTTCTTTAACTCTAATGTTTTATAGGCATCTTCCTGCCTTACGAGGAATCTGCTCTCTAGTGAATTTTTCATTCGGCTATTTCAGCACGCTTTGATTCATATGTCTTCTAGTTTGGCAAGCTAGTTTTCAATTGCTCGAAGATGCACTTTGTTGTGACATTCAGCCGCTGTGTTTCTCACTTTTTTTATTGAAAAATGTTTTTGCCGATCGCTGGGCCCTAATTTCAGTGAATGTTGGTTGATGTTTTTATCGCATGTTTATGGCACATTCTAGTGCAGTTAACTTACCTTAGCAAGTAATCTATTAATTCCCTACCAAGTTATGTTTATTTCAGAATGGAAGTTGTTTTTTGTCCGAGTTATGTCCTACGCCTCTAATTTGTTTGCCATTGGTGCTTTATTTTATGAATCTAAGCGCCAACTCCAGGCTTTTTTCGTCTAAGTTGAGTTTCTTCCATCCACATACTTCTTACTCTTAAGCCATTTGTTTGCTCAATATAAAGTAATTATATGTTTATTACCGTTGTGAGTGGGGGGGGGGGGTGGAATTTACCCATTTCGCGTCTTGATTAATTTTGCCAATTGAAAATTTTAAGCAATTCAAGCGATAATAGAGCCTAATCTTCATACACACACATTTCCTTGCATCTCATTTATCGCCTCAAAAGATATCTGCAGTTTTTTTATTTTCTACGCGTAACAACTCGTTCCTTACGAACGTTTTCACTCCGCTATTTCTTAATTTGTACCTTGCAAGGATTTTATGACCTGCAATAAGAAGAAAGCATTGTCGTTTTCTTTCATTTCCACAATGTCGCTTTTTATCTATACGGTTTTATGTCTAGTCTCACCAGTTCGTCATCCCGTATGATAATGGTATCCCACAGTCCCCACCCCCCCCCCCCCCCCCCAAGTCGCTTCCATTGTTACAATGATGTGTGTGTTTGTATATTTGTTTAGTTTTA